ATGACTATCCTTCCTTGCTTGTCTCAGTTAAAGCGCATGATGGGACCTGATATTTCCAGTACGATCCCCGAGCAAGGAGACAAAGCATGGAATGGCGTTCTCTAAGCTCTCCAAGCCACAAAGAAGATTTGAATTCAAAAGTAAGAAATCAGAGTAATGTTGGTATCATTCTTTGACAATTAGGGAATAATTAAAAAAGAATATGTTCCGCCATGTCAAGCGGAGAATACGAAATATTATGTGGACTTTTTGTCTCGTTTGGTTCAAATAATTCGTCCAGTAAGATCTCAGTTTCAGGAAAGAGGAAGCCGATTCCTCCTCTATGAAAATGCGAGTCCTCACGATGCAGTACCAGTACAGCAGCATTTGGCAAAGCAATGGTTTCCATTATTTCCATTATTTCATTTCCTTTAATTAAATAACTCCCCATTATCTTTATTATTCTTATTCTTATTCCCCAATGTAGCGTCTGGTTGACAGGGAGCAGATCTGAATACACGGAGGACATTGACAGAGAAGTAACAAAGGATTAGCTGACATGCAAATGAGTTCAAAAAGTGCTTGCAATAATTTTATGAGCGAGCACAAAAACGTGTGACATTTCAAAAGATTATTTTAAAAATTATTTAATGATAATTTTTATTTTTAACGTATTTTTATTAATATTTATGGAGTGCTGGAAATTGAGAACCTTGCATAATCAATGGAATAGGCATTCCTACTCTATCTTGTCACGTGATATTGGAAAAGTAATTACTCGTATTTTCTGAATAGATTTGTTTAACAATTTGGTTGATGTCGACAAAAATATTACGTGACCATTGACAGAAATCTTTAGATTTGAAAGAATTAATAGAATAAAAATATTCCGCTTTCGGGAGAAGCAAACATTTCGGGTTCTCCCCCCCCCGTCTAATTTAAAATTTCTTGCATTAATCTTAGTTCCATTTTCATTTTTCCTTTTTGCTTCCTTTTTCCCCTCCCTTGCTTCTGTTCTCTCGGGTTTGACATTAGCTTCGATTAGATGCCCAATGGAATGGATATTCTTACAGTATGATTTCACCTGATCTTACTTATGGAGTTGAGCCCTTCTTGAGGAGAAGCCAAATCTGCAACTACTCAAGAATTTCCCAGCATTTTATGGAACCCGAAGGTTCATTACCGTGTTCACAACAGCCCTCCACTGGTCCCTAATCTGAGCCAGACCAATCCAATCAATACCATCCCATGCTATCTCTCGAAGATCCATTTTAATGTTGTCCACCCACCTACGACTTGGTCTTCCTAGTGGTCTCTTTCATTCTGGATTTTCCACCAATATCCTATATGCATTCCTCGTCAACTGATAATGAATATAATATACTTTCTAAATCGATATGACTAACAATTCGGACGTCCGTCTAGAATATTTTATAACAATTTTCATGAGATTTTGAAATTAAATGCTCAAATGAATATATGCTGACTGCTATTTTTGTTCATTAACAATTAAAGCAAAATGTATTGCAAATATATTTAAATATTTATAATACGTTATAAGAAAATTCCCTAAATTTCGACCGCACACTTCTTATTTAAGCATAGCTTCTTGGTCCTATTGTGATACCGTCTTATTTCAAACACTGAAATGGGTGATACATTCAGAGCCGATGTCCTCCTCTATTCACCTTCGTGATGCTGAAGTGCAGATGTGTATAGGGCAAATTGTGTGCTAGAATTAACGAGTAAATCTAACTTTTCCCAGTTTACATCTGCTTTTATTTCTCAAGATTCTACTAATATTCCACTTATTTACGCATAAGATTAAAGAATTTGGATTTATTTTCTACCGTCTGTTTAAGATGTCGGTTTTATATTACTATGCAGAATTATTTATGACTGACTAGCCATGTAGTTAAGAGGGAATCTTGAAAGCATCGCTTGGCATTTTCTTTCCTTTTAAAAGTTTATTGTGACGAGTAATAGGAGTTAGTAAAACTGAAACCTTGGTTTTCTTCTGGAAATTATGACGGACGTTACTAGTATATTTTTTATAAATTATTTCGTTAACAGGAAGATTATTTTCGCAGGTGTGTTACAAAAAGTAAGTTGTGCATCGAATTTGAATAAGTTATTGCCAAATTTTAATATATTCCGTATATTTTTGGAGGGGTAAATTAAGATAATTCTCATTTTCTTTTTGGAGCCTAACAGTGTTTTAAGTATGTTTATTAATTACTCCTTGTAGACACGACACTGAAGGAAAATAATTCTAAATGGAAACTAATATTTTATTTGTAATTTTGCCTGAAAAGCAACATGATCGTGAAGAGAGAACGCTCTATGTTTTCTGATCAATTAATTTTGGGGAGGTTGCAGTTACAGAGTAAATTTGTTGAACTGAGCAAAGTAGTCATTCCATTGACGGCCGAACACAATGCCCCCTCCCGCCCCTTCCCATATTTCATAAATTTGAAAATTACATTATTCTGAATTAGCTCCTTGAATTGTTTGTGATTTGGAGTAAGTACTCCAATGAACGAAACTAAAAATTTAATAGAAGTAAGTTGCTTACGCCTGACGTAAATTGCGCTGAATATTCTCTTCTGATCTCTTAGTGTGTGTTTCTCTCCTTTAAATGAAAACAGTAACCTTTTGAGATAACCATGTTTTGTGGGTGTGTATGACTCTATGTGTGAACTTTATAATATTTGACTGATTCTCATGGAACAGTGTGAACATTAATACGACGCCGGAAAAGTACATCCTAACGTGATAATTTCTAATTTCCTTAAGTTATTAATAAGAACATGGCGGACCAGCGAGATCGTGAGGTGGTAGTGGCTCCAGTGACACTTAGCACAAGAGCCCTGATATGAAGTACGGAATTTGATCTTGGAAAACCTGGAGCTTTCCTCGAGGTGACAGTTTTGTGGGATGTAAAGCAACAATCCGTGCAAACATTCTTTCGTCTTTCAGTTTGATAAAGATAATTTGGAGACAGGCATTGCCATTTTTCGTGGAGATAGATAAGGATACATACAAATTAGGTGTTACATACTGATCGGTAAGTGAGCAATTACTAAAGCGACTAAAATATCAAACGTCCCTGTTATATTCTGTAAGTAAAGTGCATAAATTGTCTCTAATTTTTTCCTACACAGAAGAATAAACTCAAATAAAATGACAATAATAGCAACAGGCTAGGAAATCTCTTTAACAAAAAAGGTTTGCAAGAAGAAAGTAAGCTTTGCCAATTCTATGCGAACTCCTGAATTTACTTAATAACAGAATTTCACCATTCTGGCACATGCATAGGAAACATAGTTCAGATATTCGCTTATAATCGTAAGTGTTCGTGCTAATGTGACACATATCTATATTCAGGATAAAATCAATTTTTAATCACTTCTTTTTCTTATTGTATCCCTGTAACAGTCCGTGGAGGACCATAGGGTTGTGAGATGTTGAGGCTCCCACATTTTCTAGATAATTGGCTCACAGATGGCAGTGAGGTTGCCAACAATACTCGACGGCCGCCCTTCACCCACAGGAAGATTCCTGGTGCTCATTTCTATTAGAGTCCGAGTTGACCCCTGGGCTATATTGCGGCTGGAATGATTAGGAAAATTGAAAAATCTACCTCATCGGGATTCGAACCCGCGATATTCCGGCTTGTAGCATAGTGCCTCAACAAACTACGCTACCGCGTGCTCCCAATTTTGAGTTTCTAGTTTTTAGTAATTTTGAACCAATTGCTATGACGTATAATTTAATACTTCTAGCCTTGAAATCTACTGGAAACAGACGCAATAGTTATCTATTTTGCGTAACTCTCCTCGAGTCCATTAACCAAAGAATAACCCACGATAGAGATAAATACAGCGTCGTTCTAAAACTGGAATCTAAGATTTTGATTGAGTTTCGTGCCAAAACATTTGAAGCATTTAATGTTGAACGTTGTGGAATTTTACTCATACTATACGTATATATGCTTTCGGAAAAGAACTTTGCCACTAGTTAACAACAGATCTAGACCACACGTACTTTGCAACATTTATTGTGCTGAGACAGTCAGCAAATGCTCACAACAACAGTTTTGTAAAGTCTTAGCCAGCGCATTCATCTGACGCTCAAACCCCTCATCTTGCTTTCCTTCCTCCTGCTTAGTGTTTCGTGCATTTTCTCATCATTCGTTTCTTATAGCCACTGCATGCAATGTGAACTAACATCATTAGTGGTTTAGTGTAGCAAAATAACCTGCAGTCACGAAGAACTTTCCATTTCCGTGTTGAGATGGTCTTCAGCCCTCAGATGTATGTTATCTCTTCCTGTTTAGCTTGGTCCTGGTTTCTTCTCCATCTTGTATTTCCTAAAATATAAATAATATATTTGAACTGGATGAAATTACACTAAAATTAGTTTGCAGATATATTGTTAATTGTGTTTCGCAGTTGACTCTGACTGACCTTTCAGTAAACTCAGATGTAAATTTGATTTCAAAATGATAACAAAGCAGCACATGCAGTTACACACAGGCTTAAGTAATTTAATAACTTAGAGAATAATCAGTTCGATATCGTGTAGTATTAAAAGCGGGTATTTAAGGATCCCCAAACTGAATCCCATTTACACTAGGGATGTCTGTATCCATTCACTGATCTTATTTCGTAAGTAGTAGGCAACCGGTTTTTGAGTTGAAAAGATATTTCTTATGTCTGATTCCTCATGTAGATAGGTTGGAATTATGTGAGCTATTTAATTTATGAAGGAGCCGGGATAGCGACTAGCTACGGGCTACACGACGGCAGGTGTCAGAGTTAGAGTTCCAGTAAAGTCAAGAATCTTCTGTTCTCCACGTCGTCCATACCGGCTCTGGGGCTCACGCAGCCACCTATCCAATAGGTATCGGGGGCCCTTTTCCCGGGGGTAAAGCGGCAGAGGCGCGAATCTGACAACTCACCTCGAACTAGTGCCGAAGTTAAAGACAATGTGGATTTATACATCCACTCACCCATACATCTTCATGTTGTAGTGCTTAATTAGTTAAGCATAGAGACAACTTTACCTTTTTATCTATTTAATTTATGAAAGAGTTGCTCTATAGATTATAAGAAATTAACTAAATTCTTAAATTGACTGGCGTTCTCTGACAGAAATAAATGAGATATTATGGATTTAAGTTTCTCCATGCTGTGCTTATGAAAAGTGCGATCATCTGAGTCATAATTCTGGGTAGTTCGGAGAGAAATCTGAGGTTCGGAGGGCCCCTTCACCTGCGTTGTCACAGTCGAATACTAAGCGAAGAAAGAAGCGACAAGAAGCAGGACGTGAACCCAGCTTGCTGCCTGACCCTGCGGGTTTCTTGCTCGGCTCTTTCTTACTCTTCGGACCTGAAGAAGGAGGAGATATGATTATCCAAAACATTAAACTACATGGCGTTGCAACACAGAAGACTGTACTGTAAATGGGAAATGATTCTCTTAAAATTACGATTGAAAATTGTTAGGCTGTTTTACATGATGATACAGTCGTGTAATCCTATGCATATTTGGGGAATAAAAATTTATATAATTGAATACTTCACGGTGATTTTACGTTGAAGAAATGTTCTCGGAGGGGCGGTGAGACTCCAGGTTCATGTAGGGTTTATCCGCCATTTCTGACAGGAACAGCTGCACGATTTACTGCATTCTTCCTGAAATAAGAACATGCGTTTCAGTGACAGCAACTTTAATTGCCAAGACAGCAACAACAAAAAAAGGTACCCAACAATGACAACAGTGAACTGAGATTTGATATTTTCACGGCCGCCAATATTAGCGTTGTAATTTTCTGTGTTATGACACAGTGTAGTCTTGTACAAGTTTGTCGAGTTACGGAGGAACAAAGGCCGTGCCTTAGCTCAGGCAGTTAGTAGCTGGCTTTTCACCTTGGCGGCAAGGGTTCGAGCTCAGTTCAGGTTATATGCGATTTGTGAAGGACAAAGTGACACCGGGGCAGCTGTTCTCCGAGAATTTCTGTTTCACTTGCAAATTCTCAATCCAGAGACTGCTCCACATTCATAATCATCTATTATTTCTGGCTCGTACAATAGACCAATATAGTGGCCGACGTACCAAGTAGATTCAGTCTCACCCCACTCAAAAAAAAAAAAACTACGGAGGAACATGTTGCCAACGTGTTCAGAGTGAAGATCTTGACGCAGCATCGTCCTCCGGCACGTTGGTAACCATCTGTCAGACTACATGGTGTCATTCCACAGAGTCACCATTCGTACCATCATGAACTGCGAGATCCGATTGAAATCCTACAACACAGAGTAGACATTTATGAGCCTCACTTTCCGAGAGCCCTGTGGTTAGTACGGGACTCCTAGATACATCGTAGTGTCAGGGGAACACAGTACTTAAGTTCCGGGTTCATTTGATCTTCAATTCTTACCTTACTTTGATATCTGTGGACCGCGCGTTTCGCATCTGAAGTTAGACAAATACACTGAAATCTCCAAAATAAAATACAAATCTACAAGACAATGTTCAGCAGGCCAGACATGAATGTCTGGTGGTATCTCGGCCCTACACAGATCAGGTTTCAGTTGCCTTAGTGTAATTTCAGTAAGTCTTATATTCAAATGCAGTTTAAAACTGTAGGCCTCTGAGAGATTTGAATAAGCGAAGTACTTTTACTTAATCTAAAGTTTCACTTTGGCATTATATATATACGTAGATGTCGCATTTTAGCAAGTTGAAATATAACTTAGGTTGTGGAAATAGAAGTAATTTGAAGATAATTAGAAAGTTGGTTGCTAAGTAAACGCATTAATTGCAATTATATGTTAATACATCTGAACCAGAGCGAAGGAAATAATCATATTAAAAATATACAAAATGAAGCCTTCTAAAACGTGAAAAAGTTTAAAAATTTGGGAATGATACTGACAAATGTAAATACATTTAAAAAGATATTAAGAATAAGAGTTAATCTGGGAGGCTTTCTGCATGTCGGTTCATAATATTTGACCTTCCTTTGCTTCTATTTTGAAACGTAAGGACCAAAATCTACAAAACTATATTCTTACCTATTGTTTTCTTATGGGTGTGAGGATTCCTCTCTCACATTCCTGGAAAGGTGCAGTGCGAGTGAGCGTTTCTGACGAGGAGTAGGCCTAAGGTTGGAGAATATCGCGTAATGGCGAGCTTCGTTTGTACTGTTCTTCGCCAGATATGATTAAGATGAACAGATCAAGGAGAATGATTTGGACGGGGCGTATAAAACTGACGAAGGAGGTAAAAATACCTCCGACAGCATTGCGATCTTATAAGCATACCTTTATTTGAAGAAAGCAGTCTTCTGGGATTTGGCACCGTGTATATGTGGTGTTAACTGACGTTTCGGAGGAACGTATCGCCTCCAGCTTCATGGTAGAAGAAAAAATATAAGAAATCTGCAAGCTAAGAGACCTTGAGAACTGGTAAATCAGACTGCTTTTACCAGTTCTCAAGGTCTCTTAGCTTGCAGATTTCTTATATTTTTTCTTCTACCATGAAGCTGGAGGCGATACGTTCCTCCGAAACGTCGGTTAACACCACATATACACGGTGCCAAATCCCAGAAGACTGCTTTCTTCATAGTCACCGCCGTGAAAGCCTCAAATCTTACATACCTTTATTTTTTCAGAATAAAGAAAGATGGCTAATAAAGGCCGAGTGACTGCCTACTGGCACTATATTTGTACCAAATTTAACTAAAATCTGTCAACGAACCTTACTTCAAACGCGTAAGTGAGGAGTAAAGCGGCAGGAACGGACGGAAGGAGGAAACTTGGAAACATGATTACAACTTAAGCCCATCTTTCCTTATAAATAAGCAAGTATGCTAACATTAACGAGTTGTATACTTCTACATGTAATCGTACGTTGATACAATATCTCCTTTTTCCGGAAATAATTTCGTATGTTGAGTCCGTGTTCATTGTCAAGCGAATGCATAAGTAAGACAAGTAGTTTAGTTCCACCAGATCCAAAGAATTCGAGATGAACATAATGTCGCAATTTTTCCTCCATTTCAAAATTTCTTTCCAATTAATTTGCCCAGTTTAATTTTTGTGAATTCATCTGAAATCATACGCAGGGAACAAACGCGACTAGAAATATTGGAGGCGGTTCAGATCCTGGTATTCTTGTTTCTCTCGAAATACAGTCAGCGAGTCTGTCTTGCAGTACTGACTTCTCCCTCTTTTCTGAAATGTAATCAAAACCTCTTTTTAAATTTCCTTTGTGTAAATAGACTTCTATGGGTAGGAGAAGTTCGGGGCTTGTCCTAACTGTCATCTTCAATCATCATTAAAAGCGAATAATCTTGCAAGCAGTTGGCCGTACTCTTTGCTCACTTGATTACACGATCCTTAAACCCAAGCTTTGAGATCTGCACATTATGCAGCTTAAATTAATTCCACTTCAGGCGTCACTTAATTTTATACTGCTGCAGTCATGGATTTGTTCTGTGCAGTTATAAAAAGCGCGGAATATTCTTGAGGAGTTTTGCAGTAACGGACAATATGATCCAGACTTACGGTCTGTCTGCGCCAGGGGTGGGCATTTATTTCACACTTGAAGGCCGGCTGAGTGTATGACGTGACTCTGCATAAGAATTGTATTAATAATGATGAATTCTGGTCGGTAATCACAAACTCCGATCAGTGTATATATACATATATAGCCAAATAAATATATAGTTCTTAAGATTTGAGGTTTTCTCGGCGGTAACTCTGAAGAATGTCGTCTTCTGAGATGTTGCGCCGTATAGATATAGTTTAAACCGACGTTTCGGAGGAACGTATCGCTTCCCTAGGAACCAGCGTGTGCAGGCGGTTAAGTATGCTAGTTGCTCGCTCGCGGATTTTCCTACTCCTCCGAAACGTCGGTTAACAAAATATCTACAGGGCCACATCCTACAAGACGGCATTCTTCGAACTAGTAGCTGGATCACAAGATAGAGGAATGAGAATAAGATGAGTCTTTAGAAAACTGGTTAGAGATTTGAGGTGGGTGGGACTAGCTCAAAAAACTCTCCAATTCTGGGCTTTGCATTGCATAGCCTAGGTGTTTCAGATCTGCTGCCAGATATTATTTCACTTTCATAAACACCTGAGCTCCTTTTAAGACACTGCCATCCCAGGGCTTTTTCGTTGGTTTTCTTGGAGAATTTTTACTTGATATTTTATTCAGTGTCTCTTTCGGTTTAGCACTCATCTATTTTCATAGAGTGAACATACAAAACTGCGACGGACTGATCCCCGGTCCGAGAAGTTCTACCGACTGTGTAAAAGATTTAGACACTGAAGAAGTGGCCAAGACCTAAGAAGGGCTGTCGAGCCATGAATGGATGGACATACAAAAAACTCGGGGTTATTTCATTAGACAAAATCCGGATAATTGAAACACAAATTTCATTGACAAATTTGAAAATACAATTAAAGTTGGTCTCTTTTCAAGAAATTTACGGCACAATATCAAATGTCTATGATAAATTGTTTATAGTAAATATAAATTTGTTATATTAAGGTTCTTTTATGTGTTCCTTTTTTATAAATTCTTCTGAAATACCTAATTTTTACTCAGGTGGTGCTTAGAGATTTCTCGGCTGTGGAGTGACTTACTGCCCTATTTTGATGTCCCTACTTCCGTTCACAACGGGCACGACTCTAAAAGACATAACATTTTGTTTAGAGCTTATATGTAACTATAGTAAAGATATTAAGCTAAACGATTCAATCATAATGCCATTTACAACGTGTTGGCTCTTGGTAGTGGAGTGGTGTAGGGAAAAGCATTAAAATGTTTCAAGTGCCACTTAAGTCTCGATAAACGTCTGTCAGAAGACCCTCAGTTGGAGGTATATAAAGTTTTGTGATTTCCATCGGGTTAACTGCGCTTTTCCTCTCATTCTACTGTGTTTAGATATCTCTCCCCTCTCCCCCTCCCCTTGACGCCATTACGGTGTTCTGTGCTGTGCCTTGTGATTTATGAATAATTATTGTCCTTTTGTATTATGTGTCTACATGGATTGCTTCCGTTGTAGAGTTGCAAGACGGAAAACATTTGTTGTCATTGCTTCTCTTTTTATTTAGATAAAACTGCCTGTTCATGAAATTTAAATGATCCAATGAATAAAAGGTTTCGTTTGCATTTCGTTGCATAACCAGATGGAGTATTTGATAGGACTATGATTTTATTAAACCGCAATATTCAACAGGCGTCCATATCACATGTAATTCCACACTTTAGTTATTGAAATGAATGGAATTTAATTGATTTGATTTAAATGTACATTTTCATCCAAGCGATGTACCAAAGTGTAGACCGCCGTTACCTTTATATGACTTGATTCTAAATGCGAAAGTTTTCAAGCTCTTGTGCTTCTAATAAATGTGTTAGGCCTGGAATTTCCTCAGATTCACCAGAGTGCATGTAGAGGTTTGAGGCGTCACGGACATCCTTGTGTAGCTTGTACTTCTTTCTAACATGTCTTGATTACTAAAGTAAAATTATACAAAGAGACTCACGTCAACGCAATGGAACGAGAGTTTTATACTTCCAACAAGATATTAAGAATACATCACGGTAAATATTCTGAATTTTAATTCACACACTTCTCCCTTCCCAACCCGGCCCAGTGTCACTATCCAAGCTGCGCAGATATTTATGAATTATAGGATTATTAAATGGGAGATTCAGTGAACTATAATTATTGTGTATCCTGTGTGATAATTATTATTGCACATGTAGTTTATATTATGATTAATTAATACTTAATGACCACCCGCACAACGAAATTAATTTCTTATTGTGTACTGTTTTGTATACCACGTCAATTGTAGCTGATATTGCTCATAAATTATGTACCTTTGTTTTGGTTTCTTCATGCTCTCTTTTTCTTACTTACGCACTCTTCTGCATTCGTAGTTCCTGCCCTTACTCTCGAAGCCCTCCTCTAAAACCTGTCAGGTCACACGTACTCCCGTCATCTTTTCAGGCTCATTGTTGGCCTTAGCCACAGAATCCACCACGTGGCAGTCCTCCTCAGTTTGTAAGCTATCTTCCTTATTTACGAAGAATAAAAGGAAATTCGTTTTATTCTCATCTCCAACAATCGCCTGATGGTACGGCTAGAAATTTCTATTTGAGTAACACCAAAGTTAAATCTTAAGTTTTAAGTATATACTATATATATATGTGTGTATATACACGTGTGTGTGTGTGTTTCTAGAAAGAATATCTTTCGCCATAGTTATCATTAGGCCCCATGACTGATTGACCATTGTACGTAGGCATACGGCATTTTGAATGACAATTTTATAGACTACTTTATGAATATTATATCAGACAATTTCTCCTATGCTGAAATATGTCAGTTTTAAAATTCTGTGAATACCTAGGCTTGTATAAAAGCAGGGATAGTGCAGTCGGTATAGCGACGGGCTACGGGCTACGGGCGACGGGTTAGACGACCGAGGGGTCGGAGTTCGAGTCTTGGTAGGCGCAAGAATTTTCTCTCCTTCACGTTGTCCGGACCGGCTCTGGGGTCCACCAAATATTTCCTCTGGGACAAGGCTGCCGGAATGTGAAGCTGATCACTCACCTGCAGGCAATACCCGGATCAAGAAAACATGGATCTCTATATCCACACTTCCATACTCCTTCATGGCGTAGTGCTTAATTACTTAAGCGCAGGAACAACTTTACTTTTACTTTTACCTTTACCTAGATTTGTATTTTTAAAAGAAAGTTAAACTGCCTTTATAGGATTACATACTTTTCCTTATACGAAACATAACCTACAACGTAATAATTATTGATTTTAACATATGATCAGACACCGCCAGACGCACCAAATACAGCACTATTTGATGTGATTTTACTTTCAGTACAAACCCTTCTCCTTGTTTTCCTTTTTCCCGGAGAGTTCTGAAGGTGGTCGGCATTGAATTCCAATAGCCCTGTGAAGAAACAAATAATTGTCTACAGTTATGAAATACAAACTTAAGTGTTTAATAGTTTAACTTAGACACCCTACACTTAGAGACAATAGACATGTACAGCGAAAGGAAACTTATCAACGCACCTTTTATTATATTCTCATTAGAATTGCATAAGACACAACAGAGTTTCATTTACGTCCGGAGGATTCAGTACAACCGCAAAATTTGCAACTACAATCAAGAACACAGTTATCCTACTGGATGTAGCTCTCCCCATCGGTAGATAATTTATTATCGAAGATAATTTACCAAAACCTTATTGTCAGTGTAATTAATTAACATTACTTTTAAGCAAATTATATCTCATATGTTGAGTGTAGGCTGAAAAAACTCTCGCTTACATTGCTTTTAGTCTGTGTGAGGTAAAGCAATCATGCTAAAACTAGGTATAAACACAAAAAGCGTCGTTCGTGGGCCGTTTTATATAATAATATTAATATACCCTGCAGGAATTTAAAGCGAAAATTATTAGAAACAGAGTCAATTTATATAATATCAATAGTTTAAAAAGTTTCGGAAAGACATGAGCACTAAGATATTGTCACTTACGTATTTAGGGGTATGTGGCTATAGACGGGGTATGGATTGGATATTGACTTTTTTTACTACCTGTATTCATCACTCAAAACTACATTTTACAAGTCACTGACACACACACAGACTTTTGTCCTTAGTCTGCTAGAGTCTCCACTAGCCTTTTCCTGACAACAGCTTCTTACAGTGGAGATTCTTCATTTTCCGCGGTCACGCCTTTGCCCCTAGTTAACGCTTCACACTTGAACTCTCAACTAAATTGTAGCGTCAGTTTTCTTCAACAGAGCTCTTCTGCACAGACCTGGCAGAAAACACATATCCACTCTTGTTGTAGAGGCTTGTTTACCGCGTCGTTGCATAGCAACGGTCGCGGAGCGGATCACATAGGAAATACAATTCTTCTGTTGTTGCGTACATGCATGTTGAAGTCGTTACGTAGCAACGGCCACTGTTTACAGAGTCACTGCTTAACGGCGGGCCTATATGCTACAATATTAAAAGTATTAACGTTCTGCTTCTGTCTAAGTAAAATGTCGTCGGAATTCTTGCTTGTAGGAGGAGATAATTTCGTCGAAAATACCTAAACTAACTCTGTCTTCAAAGATAAAACAGATAAAACGTCACATTGTAGGGTAAGAGGTAAAGCTATCCTTGTAACAGGCCGTGGAGGTCCATAGAGTTGGGAGAGGTTGAAGCTTTCACATCTTGTAGAAGATCGGCTCACGCCGACCGCCCTTGACCCCTAGGAAGCTTCCTGGTACTCATTTCTGTTAGAGGCTGATTCAGCCATAGTGAGGATGGAAAGATTAGATAAACTGAAAAGTCCGCCTCATCGGGACTCGAACTCGCGTCCTTCCGGCTTGTAGCATAGTACCGCAACCAACTACGCTACAACTTACTCCCCGAATGACAGGGTGAGTTCATAAATAATGAATTGGAAAGGATGTGAAAGAATGCTGTCTTTGACTATCCCGGCATTAATCTGAGAGGGATAGAGAAAACTTAGAAAACTCTCATTCAGGTTGGCCTATATCCGACCGAGATTCGAACCGATTACCTCCAAAATAAAAGTCATGGTTGTTACCGCTTGTGGCAGGCTTCTATCTTATGTACTGCAAGACGTGTTCTCTTGCACGGACAATAGGATTTCCGGTACTTCCAGCTTCATTAACTTAGAGGCCTACATAATTTTTCTGAGGTTAATTACTCGTAGCATTGCTCTATTATCTTATACATGAGCTAGGACATTTACTAGATTTTCCTCAAGTGTATGCTAGATGAGAAGTTTTGACGGAGATGAATAAACGGGGACGCAAGAGGAAAAGAGATGGGTGCATGTAATACGTTCGCCCACTCAACATTTTCTTTTTCGTTTTTTATTTAAAATCATACAAAGTTTTCTTATGTGGGTGCCAAGAAAGTAGGGAAACATACTTCCCTTGAGAAAATGAAGTTTTCTTTTAAAAGAGAAAATGGAAAAGGGAAGGGGGAAATGGAGAACGAAGAGAAAGATTGTAAGGTTGGTATAAACTGCTTGACATAAAATACTGGAGGCAAGGAAGCAAAGTAGTTGGGGAGAAGTGGAACGAGATAGGAGTTTGAAATTAGCTCCAAAGAGAAGCAATAGGCTTCTTGCTGTAGTTACGTTGTATATAGGGATCCAGCTTCTACTTGAAGTTATAGACCGCTGCCATAACCCGAACGCTATCAAATTGATAGCACAAATACCATCAAGGAGTTGCAACTGAGCCTGATATTCAATTCCGTCTATTGCCGGCGGCTTTTGGAAAAGTTAGAAGGCCAAAATTCGGGATAGGCTGCAGTAAAAGAGTTGAACATAGTTAGGTCGGGGGTCTGGTCTGCTGAACAGGGTTTAAAATAATTCGTGAGGACAATCTGAATTACTGGATGAAACTGAACCATAGAGCTAGTTTAGATCTGAAGTCCTCAGAGCGATGAATATAAATACTACACACTTCTACGATGTGATGCCGTGTAGAAGTAAACCTTTATGTAAGGAGAACGTACTGAATCCTTCATGGTCAAGAGCAAAGTGCCTATTGCTTCCGAATCTCTTGGCTATTACTTACACACTTCAGACTTAATCCTTCAAAATGGAGATAGGATGTTCCAACGAAACGTCGATTGGCTTTCAACGGACTACTTGACATTGTATTCCAGAAGATACTCTTCATAACCACCGCTGTGAGAGCCTCATATCATATATATAATGATTTTTGTAGATAAAATGCAACCTGTTTCGCTGACATTACACTGCTGTAAGCACACTGCATGTGTTAAATCCGATTACCACGTTAAACCCAATTTTTGGGAAACACTTCCTCCATAATATAATTTATGCTTACACCGTGATGACTGCCCATATGAAGAAACTTCGTAATTTGTACCTTTCACCAATATTATTATGGTTTTAAAGCAAGAAGGTTCGGTTGGCCGGGTTATGTGCCAGGCAAGGAGAATTTATAATTGCAAAATTCTAATCAGATACCTAAAGCTCACGAACACGTTGTAGACCTGAGCATCGTCGAAAGGATAATATTAAAAACCATTTTGGAAAATTAATGAGCGAATTAATTCAGCTACGTCAGGAAAGTATCCAATGACGAGCTCGTGTTAACAGGGCAATTATCTTCCAGATTCCATAAAAATCCAGAGTTTCTTGTTGAAGCTGAACATTTATAAACTTCTCAAGGGGAGCTCTTTCTTCTGTGCAGAGTGAGTTGGTTACATACTGATACTGCGATTGTACGATATCTTTAAACGAAACAGCGGCATTCCCTTCACATCAGACGTAGAGGTTCGAGTACAAATAAATAGGTCGATGGCTGAGCTTCATTTATGTTAATAGAAAGTACCAGAGATTGTATATTTTGCGTCCAACACCTCACGGCTTGGTTGTCGATACGTTTAAGCATTTTAAGTTAAAATATGTTGCATTTGGTCTTTAACAATTCATCGCTAATTCGTAGCGACGTGGGAACTTCAGATCCAACAAAATATGACTGCTCTGTACCCGTTTACATCTGAACAGCATGTCTATCTATCTATCTATCTATCTATCTATCTATCTATCTATCTATCTATCTATCTATCTATCTATCTATCTATCTATCTATCTATCTATCTACCTATCTATCTATCTATTTATCTATCTACCTATCTATCCATCTATCGACGGCTCTACAGCCCTTAGGGCCTTGGCCACTTTTTCAGTTCATTAATCTATATACAGGCCATAGGTCTGCTTTGACGGGGGATCAGTCCGTCACAAGATCACTACCTACACGCATGACAGCACAAAAGCAGAATAAACGCACAAACATCAAGGCCTCGAGTGGGATTTGAACCTACGATCCCAGCGTTCTAGCGAGCGAAGACGGTTCGTGCCTTAGCCCGCGCGGCCCCTGTGATCAGCACAGAATGTCTAGTGACCACAGAAACTGATGATACACACAGTTACTCGGGTTCTCTACAGGACTTTGCGTCACCCTGACCTATTCCATCAAAAAGTGAGTTATTTTTCGGCTGTAAAGCAACAAGCCTGTACTTGCATTCTGGACGTACACAGTTCTTGTCTTGTTCGTATTGATTTCTGTCCTGCCTGAGTGTATTTCGTAGTTTGCTCAGTCGTTTACAAACGAAGAGCGAAATAGTAGTTTGAAATGAACCACCTATGTTTATCAAAAATAATTTTTCTGAGATGCAATGCTGTATGGTTTGGTAGATTGGAATTAAAATTTAGCATCAACGTATTATGTCCATCTTCTACCATGAGGACGGATGCAACATATTCTTTCGAAAAACTGGTACATATATACCAAAAGAAACTGAGTAACATACAAGAGAATTTTACGATAGTCAAATTTCAAATTCTTTCTTAATTGCATTTCCAGGTATTGTTCATATTTCTTTCGACCCTATAGAACTTGTTACTTATGGACCACCATTAAACAACCTGACTCGGTCGGTGTAGCGACAGACTGTGGGCTGGACTGCAGGGTTTGATTCTCGGCAGAGGTAAGATATCTTTCTCTATTCTAGGGTGTCCATACCGGCTGTGGAGCCCAGTCAGCTCCTATCCATTGGGTACCGGTAGCTCTTTCCCCGGAGTAAAGCAGCCGGGGTATGAAGCTAACCATTCACCTCCATCTTGTCCCGAAGTGAAGAATTATGGAACTATAAATCCATTCCCCCATATGTCTCTATGTCATCATACTTCATTAATTAACCTGATGGTTATATTTAGCTTTACCTTCATTCGTGTAGAATACAACCCCATTATGTATTTCGAAGTCATATGATGTCTCTATCTTCAGTGTCGACAAATAGGCCAAGCAAGCAGCCAGTAAGAAGCGCGGCTTACAGATATATGAGCCCGGATCAGCTCTGAAGTTAACTGCAAC